TTGTAAAAAAAAAACAATGAATTAATAAATGAATTAATTTTTTTTACATGTCAATCGCGTTGATCGTGCCAACGTGACACAACAGAATATTATATTTTTAAGGTTTTAATTGAGACTAAGTAAAACCAATATTTCAAACAGTTTATAGAATAGAATAGAATAGAATAGAATAGAATAGAATATTTTTTTATTCAATATACATTACATGTGTAATTCTTATTGAAAGTCATTTTTTACTTTACCACTGGTTCGAAAAAAACCCTCTGTCCTGGGAAGAACCAGCAAGAAACCCAGCGGGACTTTTTTTTTAAAATAATTTTACAATATAAATGATTACGAACTATTTACAAAATTAATTTTAGAAACTGCTTGGAAGCGATCACCTCATTCCCAGGGGTTATTATCAACCATGTATTCATTTATACTATAATAACCCTTTTTATACAGTTTCAGCTTAATAAAACATTTAAACTTGGTAATAGAGAGAACCTGTACACTTTCCGGGACCTTGTTGTAATAGCGTATACATTGCCCCAAGAATGAATTACTGACTCTGTGGAGTCGAGAAACTGGTATCACTAGCTTGTGTTTGTTCCTAGTGTTTACAGAATGTATATCACTTCTTTTACTAAAACTATCTTTGTTTTTGTGAACATACATTAAATTTTCGTAAATATACTGAGAGGCCAAAGTTAATATATTAATTTCTTTAAATTTATCTCTAAGAGACTCTCTTGGTTTTAGATTGTAAATAGCTCTAATGGCCCTCTTCTGTAAAACAAAAATAGTTTCTGAATCAGCCGCATTTCCCCATAGTAAAATCCCATAAGACATTATGCTATGAAAATAACTAAAATAAACTAATCTAGCTGTCTCGACACTAGTGAGACCTCTAATCTTTTTTACAGCATAGGCTGCAGAACTTAGTCTGCTTGCTAATTTGGATATATGGGGGCCCCACTGGAGCTTTGCGTCAAGAGTGATGCCAAGAAAAACAGTGGATACAACAGGGCTCAATTCCTCCCCATTTAAAAACACTTTGGTATTCAGATTTTGAACATTCGTTGTTGTAAATTTAACACAATTAGTTTTATTTCCGTTCAAATGCAGATTATTAACGTTAAACCAATGCACTAATTTTGATATAGCATTATTCACTTCGTCACATTTAAATGATTGACGTCTAAGTTTAAAAATCAAAGAAGTATCATCAGCAAATAATACTATATCATGACTATCCCCTACAAGGTGAGGTAAGTCATTAATATACACCAGAAACAGGAATGGGCCGAGAATCGAGCCCTGAGGTACACCCATTAGTACAGGTGACCCGGAAGAACTTTTACCATTGATAATAACCTTCTGTTTTCTATTACTTAAATATGAAATAATAAGTTTAAGCGCTGTGTTCTTGACACCATAGTACTGTAGCTTCCTGATTAATGTCTCATGGTGAACACAGTCGAAGGCCTTGGAAAGGTCACAAAATATACCCAAAGCATCCTCTGAATTCTCCCATGCACAAAAAATATGTTTAATAAGCTCAACTCCAGCGTCAGTTGTCGAGCGACCCCTTGTAAAACCGAATTGATTATTATGTAGCAATTTATTAATATTAAAGAAACTTAACATCTGATCTAAAATAATTTTTTCAAAAATTTTACTTAATGTTGGTAGTACAGAAATTGGTCTAAAATTGGCGGGGTCTAATGTACTACCAGATTTAAATATAGGTATGACTTTACTATGTTTCATTAAATCAGGAAACACACCAGATTCGACGCTTATATTAAATATAGTGGCTAGATAAGGTGCTAATGTATCTATTATAGATAAAATAACTTTAACGGAAATCCCCCATAAGTCTGCCGTTTTCTTAACATCAATAGTTTTAAAATATTTAACGATATCTTTTGGCAGTACCCTATGGAATTTAAAAGTATTTGAACAAGCCTTTACATTTTGTTTGAGCAATGATTCGGCGACAGTAGGAGAAGAATTTAATGATTTTGTTGTCAAAAAAGGAACATCAGTAAAATGTTTCTCAAAAGCCATAGCAACTTCTTGATCAGATCGCGTTAAATTATTGTTAATATTCAATTGAAAATCCGAGTTGCGCGGTTTGACCTTGCCCGTTTCACTATTTATTATTCTCCAGGTCATTTTAATTTTGTCGGATGCAGTTTTAATTTTGTTGCTTAAATGTAAAGCCTTAGCAGTGGAGCACACTTTTTTAAATATTTTAGAATATGTTTTTACATAATCTCTAAATATAACACTACTATTATATGATCTTTCATCATAAAGCTCATATAACCTTCGCCTACTTTTATAAATTCCTACTGTCGCCCATTCATTAAAGGATTTGCGACTGTTAAAAGAGAAAGTTTTAGAAGTAAATATTCTACTAAATTCACAACGTATAATTTCAAATAATGTAGCATACAAATAATTAGCACTATTTTTAAACGAAAGTGATGGAAGTCTTTTTATTATATTACTTCTAAACCTCTCCAAGCGATGTTCATTTATTGGAACAAACACAACTTTCTTATTTTTCTGTTTTTTGTGTATGTAAGGTAGTGATACTAACTGTCCACAGTGATCTGAACTTAAATTTTGAATAATTGATTTATGCAAGGGCTTAACATCTGTAAAAATGTTGTCTATACAGGTCGCACTAGGCCCAGCAATACGTGTTGGTTCTAAGAATAAATTTACAAGATTATACGATTTAAACAATGAGCTAAACTTAATACTAATGGAAGAAGTTTCAAGGAGATTGATATTAAAGTCTCCACACATTACAACAGACTTGTTCTGTTTACTAAGTTTGAGTAAAACTTCTTCCACAATCCTTTCAAAATGGTCATAAATAGCACATGGGGGTCTGTAAACACTTACAACAATGAGGTGCTCAAGCTCGACACAAGCCATTTCTACAGTTCGTTCAACAGAGAGGCTCACAATATCCTTACGTTCTTTATATAATAATGATTTATCTGCTAATATTAAGGAGCCACCACGTAAACTTTTTTCTCTATTGAAGGAACTGACCACCTGGTGATTTCTGAAATTAAACATGAAATTATAATCTTTTAGCCAATGTTCAGTAATACAAAGGATGTGTATATTGTTACTATTTAAAAACAATTCAACTTCCAATTCTTTGCCCAACATGCCTTGTATATTTTGATGCACCAGGTGTAAACAATTTTTATTACTTATTTGTGGGCTGTATTCAAAATTAATTAAACTCTTATTATTGCTAGAGATTGCCTCTATTGTCACATTCACTAATTTAAATTAGTTGGAACTGATTCCAAATTAAATGTCAAATGATTATGCTCAATAAAAGCAGTCTTGGTAGCCAAAAACTTGGCTGAGTTAAAAAGTAAATAATAAGATAGCACATTTGCTATCAGTCTTAAATTATATTTGGATAGGTAATACCTATCTTTTGTCCAAAACTTTTTTATTAAATTATTTATGTCAATTACATGAAATTTATGATTATTATCATTAGAATTATATGTCAAATTTAAATTATTATTACATATTAAATTATGCATTTGTATATTTAAATTATGTCTTAAATTATTTTCTTGTGGCAATCCCTGTATATAAGGCAGTGTGAACAAGACAATTTTGTGTACATTTAAGTTATTAAGTTGTTCAATATATCTTAATAACTGTTTGTTGTTGACACTGCCTCTTCTACCAACAAAAATTATTATTGTACTATTTGGGCAAAATTTAGTAACAATAATTTTATTTAGGATGTCACTTAAAGATGCTCCAGGCATGCAGCAATTTGTAACTTTTTGTCCCTTTAAAGAGTTATTTAAAGTTATGCCTAGATTATTTTCCCATATCATCGCTATAAACAATTATATTATTTTTAGTAATATTTGATTTATTTATTACTTTAATACCCTCTGCTATGGCACTGTCATAGAGTTTTTGTGGTGGTATAATATTATCAGCACACACTGACGTTGAAGAATCTGGCATTGAGCGCTGACACTCACATTGATATTTAACTAAGGAGTCAAACCGCTCCTCATTATATTTACAAGTCTTTACCAGATTATCCATAGCCAATATGTGTTCTTTTATTTCATTTTGGGCTGATTTATATTTATTGGACACAGTTTGAAGGGAGTTCATAAGTGACAATATTTCTGATTTAAGGCACTCTATTTCAGTCTCATAACATTTTTTTATGTTATCCACCTCAATTGAATACAACTTAAGTTCATATAACAATGCTTGCTTTTCTTTACATACATTAACATAATTTTTGGTATTAATCTTATTTCTTATTAATTTTTGTACTTTCCTTATGTATTTATTAACTTTTATATACTTCTTCAATTTGGTTTTACTGCAATTAATCCTTACTGTATTTCCTGAAGTGGAAGAGTCGTCACCAGTCAAGTCTATTGTTGCATTATCATTTATTTTCCTTATCATTCGTGGTAGAGTTAAAGTTTTTTAACTCTGTTTAACAGCGTTAATAAACTTTAACATTCAATCGCCTAGAACTTTGCTCCGTGACTAGCTCCGACTGCGTTCTTCCCTGGAAGCGCCTCGCGATTGTAGGTAATTATTTCACGCAGGTAGCAAGAGTGACAGAGGCCTGGTCTTACCAGATCGTTATTTTATGTGATAAGGAGCTGTAAACAAATTCAAATGTGTTATTTCTCCTGAGGAATAATGTTACAATGTTGGAATACCTCGTTTCCAGGAAAAAGATAACTAGAATTTCAATTTAATGAATAAAATACACATCAGATAAGGCTGTATAGTCTAAGACCTTTGCCTGCCTTAAATGGCAAATCGTTACAACAACAACAACAACAATTTGTTGTCAAACGTCAACATCAACACTCAAAAATCATTCTGCAGACAGTAGAAAAAAAGAAAAAAAGTTATACTTTGTATTTTATTTTACGAAATATAGGTATTTATTTTCATATCAAATCAAATCGATAATAATGAAGACTCGTCATAAAGTGGAAGATGTCAGCGAAAGCGATTTGGAGGTATTTGAAATGCCCGAAACGGTCTTGTGTGTGGATACGATGTGCAATATTTGCTATGCCGAATTTTTAGACGAAGAAGATTTAAAATTGCATATCAAACAAGTCCATTTAACGGAAAAGAATAGCTCACGATATTGTGAATTATGTTCATCTATATTCACAAGCTTAGAAGATTATGCGGCACATATTTGCGAGGTACATATTCTAACTTTGAAGTGTTGTAGGTACTGTATGAGAGCGTTTTCTCACGTCCCAGAAGTTACGAGACATGAAAAAAAGCATCTCAGCGCCAGTTATAGAGGTTCATTTTCTTGCTCCAACTGTAGTTTCACTTTCAAAAGTATCTCCGAGTTGGAACATCATGAGTACGAAGAACACGGTGATAGCAAAGACGGCGTGATGTTGCAGGGCTGTTACTCCTTACTTTCTTCGTTTTTAAATATGAAGGCACAAACATTCCTGCAGTCACTGGGGAGGAATCATGTTTATACATGCACTCGTTGTAAGTTCACTACACCTAACGTTGAGTATTACATGCAACATTTAAAGAAAAAAAACTGTCGCTCACTAGTCTGTGACAAATGTTGCAACGTATATAACAATTTCAAGAGTATGAATAGACATTTTACCCTTCACAAAGAATGTCATAACAAAGTGGATAGTAATTTGCAAAAAAAATGTCATAAATGTAATAAATTGTTTAATTATGATGAATTGCGTCAACACATTAAAGAATGTGTTGCTGTGAAATGTGCTTCCTGCGATGTCATCTTTGATACAATTGAAGAAAAAACAGAACACCAGGTGAAATTTCATCAAACAATGTTTTCAATAAAAATTTGTAAATACTGCCATCGGGAATTTGTTGGTCAAGTTGCCCTGGATAAGCATATTGAGAGATCACATAAAAAAGACTTACATTTATACAAATACTTCTGCGTCTACTGTGATGACATTTTTAACCATCCAAAAAAATTATTCAGCCATTTCTCAAGTAAACACAAAGATTTGAAACCTTTTACATGTAAAATCTGTGATAAAACATTCAGATTGAGGAAGCAATTCACTCTCCATATCAAGTTAGATCATACAAGTGTTGGTACCGTAAAATTTGACGAAAACTTCCATGTGTTTTTCACGGAGGAAGAACCAAATCCTCCATCTGAAGTTACACAGGAAATGCAGATTAATAATGAGAACGAAAACAGTGCACAATCAGACATTGAGGCTGATCCGTTAACAACAGCGTGTACTAATAATGAATATGTAAATGAAAATACACAACCATTATTAATACCAATGAAGAAACGATTTGTTAATAGATCCCATAATGATGTTGATTTAGTTATGTGCCCAACTGAGACTGAAGCCGATCAAACGGATAGTGATATGAATAAAATAACAAAACAGCCGGTAAAGCGTAAACGGAAAACAAAAACCAAAGAAACTTCAACGTGTTTTGATTTAACTTTAGAAGATAATTCTGATGAATTTTCTGATAATGAACCATTAATACAATTTAAGAAGCGAGTGAAGACAAAAGAGGGCCAAAAAAAGAGCCTCTTAAATTTCAATAAGTCTAAGGAGCTACGTAAGAACAGACACAAGTTCACATGCAAAATTTGCAAGAAGTATTGCTACACCTTCCAAAACTTCAATCACCATATGAGCTTGCACCAAACGCATGAAAACAAAAAATGTATCAAGTGTCCGAAGGTGTTCAAATCCAAAGTAAAATTGAATGCACACATAATAAAAGAACACTCAAGCTCCAAGCTGACAGAGACCTTAAAAACTGTATTAGAAAGACGCAAAAATAGCCAAAACAAACCACAAGTTAATCAAACTATTGATATTAGTACAGAATCTATGTCTGAGAAATTCTCTAAAACAATAAAAAGGGTGAATGTTGAAAAACATATCACAGCTGTAGTAACTCCAGTAAACAACAAACTATCTGTAAAGAAATTTATCGAGAATTTCACTCCAGACGCAACTGAGGCAAATATTGATAAAGTTGAAATAAACAATAGTTTAACAATAAAATCCGTGAACACTCCAGTTAAACCACCGCTTATAAAATTAATGAAATTCAAGCCAGAAGAACCGCCCATGTTTATCAAATTGAAACCACCTGAAAGATTTAAAGAGTCAATATCTGAGCCGTATAATGTTAGCATAAAATTAGTTCAGAAGCCACTAGCAAAGCCAAAGATGAATTTCGATGCACCACAAGAAGAGTATGAACCAGTTGTTGAGAATCATTATGAAGAACTAACAATGGAAGATTCATATAATGATATAAATGATGATACAAATGAAACAGCCATACCAGATGTCGCACAAGAGGTACTGCTGGAAGGAACTGACGAAACATCTAAACCTAAAAATGTAACGCATAGAATTGTATTACCTAACCTACCGAAAGAGTACAAAGATGTACATATTGCTCATTTGCTTCCCGAAGCACCTTATTACAAAATTGTTAAAATTAAAGATGTTTTAAAAGATATTAAGAAAGAAACTGAACCTGAAAGTGAAACACATGATATAAAGTTGCCCGATGGAACTAAACTAATTAGTGTCAATCCGTTAGCACATCTACTTGGGGATAAGCAATTGGAATTGCCTAAAAATAAGTATTATAAACCAAAGCCTGTTGATTTTGAAAAGGCGGTGGCTAAAGCATTGCTTAATTCAACAAAAGCGACAACACGTAAAAGTAAGAAAAAGATTAAAGTGGAAGCAGAACAGTAAAACTTATCGTTATTTCGGTTGACTATTATAAATTAGCAAATTTTGTGTCCGGACTAGATAATAAAAAAAATATACTTTTAAACTTTTTTATTAAAATTGAAGTGGCAAATAAACTTACAGTTCTGATAGTCAATTTAAAATAATAAAAAATAAATGCACGTGTGCAACCAACTTTATAGAAAGAAAGCTAGCTTACTAGGTTATGGGACTCCTTTCCTGCCTAATCCATATCGGTAAGTAAGAAACAGAAACTTTTTAATTCAATGTCTAATATATAAAAATTAATATTTGTTTGTTCGTATTTTATGCACCGCCATACCGGTCATTACATTGCGGTAAAACTTTGTCAACTTATTGCTTGCACTTGCGCAAAGATTATAGGCGTATTACAATCAACTTAGATTGTTTAGCGTGCTAAAGTTATAGCAGTTATAGGTATATATCACTCAACTTCAATGAACGTATTGTCATTCCTAATGAAACAATATAACTCTTCCGAATTTAAAACAATATTTCCACAATTATTTCTTCTGAGGCAGCAATGCACTGGGTACCAGCTAGTATGAATTAAAAGTCACTATTATGATTAATTATAACTGGTTTGGGAAAAAAACCTCTGTCTTGAAAAGAACCAGCATAAAACCCAGTGGGACTTTAAAAAAAATATAGCTTGCAATCATGTATGTTATACAATTAACTGCACAAAACAAATTAGAAATAGCTCGGTAGCGATCACCTCATACCCGATAGTTATTGTCGTTCATAAATTCCTTGATATTATAATGACTTATTTTATACAAACTTAATTTAAAAAAAATTTTTGAACTTTGAGCACGTCAAATATTGTATAAGTACCACCATCTTACCAATGTCCATCGCAAATAAGTAGTGCTTGCACTATAGTGTTCCGGTTTAAAGGGTACAGAGAGACAGTATTGTCATAAGTTGTGAGGCATTGAATCTATAACTTTCTTAGTTTAAAGTTGATATGACTTGGAGACCTTTTAGAAACAAACTTAATCCTTTTTAACCGACATCAAAAAGGAGGAGGTTCTCAAGTCGACTGTATTTTTTTATGTGTGTTATCTAATAACTTTTTCTAGGTGATCCGATTTCGATGATTCTTTCTTATTTGAAAGCTGGCGCTTCTCATGTGGTCCCATATAAATGTGACCAAGATCTGACCGGTAGTTTTTGAGTTATCTTCAATAATTTATATTGAAGTTGGTTGTACAAAATTTTATATTTTACCACTTGATTAAAGGCCTGGAGTTCCTCTGGTGTTGCAGTTGTTTATGAGCGGTTACCATCAGATGAGCTGTATGCTTGTTTGCCCCTCTTCTATAAAGAAATGTTCAGTGCAGGTGTACATAGTAGTAGTAGTACACAGTAGAAGCCACTTACCATCAGATGGACTCTTAAATTCATTTGTCACTACAGTTTTATATAAATAACTATAAAACTATTAAGAAAAATTGAAATACAACTTGAAATTGCTAAAAAAGAAGTTATTTATTTATGGGGTGAAATTTTGTCTACAAATTTATATGGGAGCACCTTGAAGTACAACCTATTTAATAAAAAAAGAATCATCAGAATTACTTCTCAATGTTTATATAAATATCAGACCACTGTGATGCAGATACCACTTGACATATGATAGACACTGGGCCTGGAGCAGTGAAACATGATTTCCTTCATTTATTTTTTTTTGTAAGAGAGGGTGACAAACGAGCACACAGTCCACCTGATGGTAAGTGGTTGATGTGACCCATACACATCTAAATCTATCCTCAATCAAATGTCACCCGTGAGGACTAAGATGGAATGCCTCTTTTCCAGTAAAAAAGTTCTCCAGTTCTCTACACTCACCACACGAAATACAGCAGTGTTAAGCTGCCATTCTACGCTGGTATTCTGTGAGAGCGTGGTCCTTCCCCGGTCGAACCGTCCCATTCGTGCTACAACTATACTACTAATACAGCTGCGTCATGGCTCTACCACGTATATCTATATTGCATAAGATATTGCATAATATACATACAAAGAAGCACACTCGAAAGGAAACAACACAGCGGACATTCTAGTTTGATTAAGCAGCTCAGAATTGAGAGGTATTACTAAACTTGATTAATCTTTGTAGTGAAAACCTTTGGACTTAAGTTATTATTTTCGTATAAAAAATATATACAATTATAATATATACAAAAATTGTATCAGCCGTATCAATGATACGGGGCCCCCGGCCTACAGAGGCCCCAAACGTATGTAAGCAAAAATTCTAAGTACTGCTATAGGACAGGGTGTTGGTTTGAATTGTTTGGCTAGCTTAGTTCCTAGGAATATTAATTGTAAGTAATAACTTATAATCAATATATAATTATGTTAATTCAATGCGTGAGTTTTTGTTCCTTCTATGAAAAATCTGTACTCTTCATTTGGGCCCCCCGACAAATTTTGATACAGGGGCCCTCTAAGGCACGTTACTACACTGAATACAACCTACCTAAAGTATTTGAGAACACCTTCAAAGTCGTGTTGCAGTAGATCTTTTAGCGATCGTGACAACAACGCCAGTGCAATTTGGAACAAAGTGTCCATGCCTTGTAAAAGGAAAACGTCCAGGATATGGTAGACCTAGAAAAATATCCGTTCTTATAAGAATACAATAAGGGCATCCACGACTTTTCTGCCACCAGGGCGGCGCCACTTAAAAGTGAGGTATAATATTTGACAGATTTCATATCGGGGAAGTTAATTAGTTCGGAAAATGTAAAGGTTAATGTTTCTTTCGGTACTATTAACTATAATTTATATTAATAACAATAAAAATAAATTAACCAAACCACAAATATTCATAAGAGTAGAAAATTTAAAAAAGTTTAAAATGTGCAAAAAATTAAAGAGCAAACCACTGAAGCATTATTTTGTGTATTAATATAATACTCTAGAAACTGATAACCTTTTATTAAAAACTAACTTCTCAATTAAATGACATTGTATTACAAAAACTTTATCTCAGTGTCAACTAGCGACATCTGGTGAGCGGAAAATTATTAGCCCTCATTGAGCAGACAAACAATATGACAAATATAAGTTTTAACCTTCTCCTATTTGAAGTTGGTTAAAAAGACTAGACTTTCATGCCTCACAGAATGCAATTCTACTAACTCTTTATACTCTTTAAGATGGAAATTCAGCACACACTCCTGATTTGCAACAGTAATTATTACTGAGATAGATTTCTAGGTAGAAAAATAGCCCTACATTCATCATTATCATGATCATCATCATCATTACAGTCCTTCACAAGTCCACTGATGAACATACGTCTCCCGCAAGGAACGCCACAAAGCACGGTCCCGAGCCACCTGCATCCATCGACTTCCTGCATGTCTTACCAGGTCGTCACTCCATCTAGTAGGGGTCGCTCTACACTTCGTCCGCCGGTACGAGGATGCCACTCGAGAACCTTTTTTCCCCATCGGTTGTCGGTTCTTCGAGCTATATGGCCGTCCGTTGCCACTTCAGCTTACTCCGTTGGGCCGTTGGACTAAGTCAGTTACTTTGGTTCTACTACGGATATCTTCATTTCTAAGGTTATCACGCAGAGATATTCCGAGCATAGTCCTACATTATTACTATATTTTCCCAGGAGCCCAATATTGACATCACAGTTGGAAATACTTTAACCATAATAACAGAGAAGTATAGAAAATTTTACGTACACGAAACACATTTTATGGTACCTAATATTTTAATATAATAATTACCAGTGTATATCATATTATATAATTTAAAAAATCGCTTCTTAGTTATAGTTACATTTTGTTTTCTGCTGACTTCCAAAAAGGAGACTGTACTCAATTCCTTTATAAAAACGTACTCTGTGGTACTCAATTCGACTGTGTTTTTTTTTAAGTGTGTTACCTCATAACTTTTTACTGGGTGAACCGATTTCGATGATTCTTTTTTTATTTGAAAGCTGGTACTTCTCGTGTGGTCTCATATGAATTTGATCAATGTCAGACCAATAGTTTTTGAGTTATTCTTAATAACTTATGTTAAAGTCTGCTGTACAAAAATTTTAATTTTTAATTAGTACTTTATAAGTAGGGTAGAATAATTTTCAATATATTATTAAAATTTGAATAAAGATGTAACTGTCCTGACTTCCCCATTAGTTTTAGTTTTATTTAAAATTATGTAAGTTCTTGTATATTAGTATTGTATAAGATTCAATTAAATTTTAGTTTTCTTTGTTTTAATGTAATTATACTTAATTGAATGTAAAAACTAGAAAATGTTCTCATTCATATAAATATAATTTTATCCTTATTTAATAGTTTTATTTTTATGATAATTGTGCATGTCTTTTATTAACCAGTGCTTGGTTGCTATTCCACCCGATGGGAAGTGGTGATGATGTAGCTGAAGATGGTAATCATTGACATGACTTAAACAAAGCCTATTCACAGATAGAAAGACAGATGCCGCTAGTGTGAATACACCCATTAATCCCCTACTTACATACTTAGAAAATAGGGTAGGCCCCCGTTTTCGAAGTAAGTTCTTAAAGAAGTAAAATTTTGAAACTGAAGACTGAATTTTTTCAATAAAAGTGTAGTCTTTCTTGCCTTGAAGACGCCCATATTTTTACATTTTTTACGTAGTAAAGCCATGCTGCAGCTATATTAGTAATATAGTTGTAGCACGAATGGGACGGCTCGAACGGGGAAGGACCACACTCTCACAATACCAGCGTAAAATGGCAGCTTAACACTTCTGTGTTTCGTAGGGTGAGTGTAGAGATCCGGAAACCCTTTTTACTGGAAAAGAGGCATTCCATATTAGTCCTCACGGGTGACAACGCATCTGCATTTTGATTCGGAAACGAGGATAGATGTTCTACGTCTATCCTCGTTTGTTGTAGTGGTTACTGTGGCCCATAGACATCTATGTCTATGGGCCACAGCAACCACTTACCATCAGGTGGACTGTGTGCTCGTTTGTCACCCTATCCTATAAAAAAAAGGTGGCTCAGGACCGTGCTTTTTAGCATTCCTTGGGGGAGGCCTATGTTCAGCAGTACTTGTGTCTTACAAGTAAATGTTTCCGAGTCTGAATGTTTGTCCTTGTGCAATTTATGCATATAAACTGCTTCTACAACACAGGAGAAAATCCTAGTGTGGTTGTAACATTTATAGATTAAAAAAAGCATTCACAAAGGCATTGATCATATTGTAAACATTGTCTGCGGGTACATCTTTTTTAAACGAAAACTGTGAGAGTAAGTACATGGATAATATGCTCCAGACCGATTGGTCACGGTGGCCACTGGCCGGTATCAACGGAGACCAGCCATCTGCACAGGACAGGATTATAGTGCACGAGTGTGTGCGCAAGCTCATGTGCACTCTCTATTCCTACCCCATAATTCGATGCGAGGGCAACCGACACGACCGGAGAGAAATAAGACACAGGACATCGTCTTTATGTACTTCCCGAGGACGAGAGGAGAACTTCCTGACTGGGCTGTTATTGAGAATTGTTGACGAAAACACCCAATATCTGACTTTGGTCCGACCTGTGGTTTGAACCTATTGGGTCCTATTTGTTCAAGTCATAGGTCGAGCCGCTTACAATGTTGTCTTACACGTGGTAGAGTTATGCAACTATATTATGGTTGTAGCACGAACGCTTTCACAGAATACCAGTGCAAAATAGCAGCTTAATGCTGCCCTTTATACTGGAAACGAAGCATTCCATCTGTATCGTGTACAGATGGAATGCTTTATACTCATATAAGTATATCTACTAACCGATATCGTTCCGTGGGACGCCAGAGGGAAACAAGACAGGAGATGGGCAGCAGCGTCTCCCTAATTAAAAATAAAAATATGTAATACTAGCTGTGCCCCGCGGTTTCACCCGCGTATATCACGCATCTGCGCCTTGCGACATGCGAACTTCGAGAGAGACATCACGACGGACGGTTGCTGAATTAACAAAGATTTAAAAAGTGAGATATGTTACTTCAATTACATGGTTAACGTAATTGGCGGTTATGCATGGTACAGGTACTGATACGAATAATGTCTAGGCCACATTATTCGTATCAGTACGTATTAGTAGTATTTGTACCGGCGTTACTATTTCACATTTTAACATGAAAAAGTAGTTATTGTGACATAACTGTAATAGTTAAACATATGGTATCGCAGACTTTTTTGTAGATATTAATATCCTCTATAAAAGTGAAGTACATTACTTTGCTCTATTATCAATAGTTTCCGAAGCGTACGCGATATAAGGATTCTTTTTGGTATTTTTTTCACACCTTGGGTTACATTAACGAAGTTTTCATACGGATCCCTAACTTTTTTGAAAATTTTACATAGCCTATGTTCATCAGGGATAATGTAGGATTCTAATGGTGAAAGAGTTTTTCAAATCGGTCCAGTAGTTTCGGAGCCTATTCAATTCAAACAAACAAACAAATCTTTCCTCTTTATAATAGTAGTGTAGATGTAGATGTAGATGTAGAAGTGTAGATAACAATCTATTGGGGAGACATATTCAGCAGTGACTTTAGCAGGCTGTAACAATTGTGTCTCGCCAGCAACGCAAAGTCAGGAATTTGCATTTAGAAAACCCCAAATTAGGGGCTTTTAGGTGCTAATTAGGTGCCAAGTTTAAAAATTAGGTGATCTAAAATTTTCACCGCAACGAACTGTTGAAATTTGCGTTGCTAGCAAAACGTCTCGCTAGCAACGCAATGAAGTTATTAGATATACGATAAATATCAATAGCAAAGAACTAAGTGCTGCTATATGCCAAATTCAGGTTTTGTGACAATCAAAATAAAATCAAAATTGCTTTCAAAAAAAGCCCAAATTGGGGGCTTTTTAGGTGCTAATTAGGTACCAAGCTTAAAAATTATTTGCTCTAAAATTTTCACCACAACGGACTTGAAATTTGCGTTGCAGGAATATTGACATAGTTAGGTACTTCTGCAACAAACAACAACAAGTTGGCTGCTTGTGATTTGCTATGCCAGGACGAAGGGGCTGCACTCCCCGCAGCGCCTAAGCCGTTGCAGAAGTAACTATTTCAATATCCCTGCAACGCAAATTTCAACATTTCGTTGCGGTGAAAATTTTAGAGCCCCTAATTTGGGGTTTTTCTAAATGCAAATTCCTGACTTTGCGTTGCTGGCGAGACACAGCTGGCTGTAACGGTAACATTTTGATTCATAATAAATGAATAAATCTTAGTGCTAAGTATTAGAAAAGTGCCAGACTCGAACCTAACTTGTGAGAGACTGGTGCCTGATGTAGATATAAAAAACCTGTATTATAGGTTCTTAATCGAAGTTAGACGCAGGTGTCTATCGGCCACAGCATCCACTTCATCTATTCACTTATCAGGTTAACTGTGTGCTCGTTTGTCAGCCTCATTTATAATTTTTTTTATATAAATGACGCATTTAATATAAATTATTAAGAATAACTCAAAAACTATTGGTCTGACCTTGATCAAATTTATATAGGACCACATGGGAAGCACCAGCTTTCAAATAAAAAAAGAATCATCGAAATCGGTTTACCCAGTAAGAAGTTATGAGGTAACACACTTAAAAAACATACAGTCGAATTGAGTACCGGCTCCTTTTTGAAATCTGTAGAAAAAAAAGAAGTGACATGTGGCCAGCCCAGCTAAAAATAGGTTTATTACGACCATTAAATATATATATCTTTTTTATAACAAAACAGTATCGTAGATCTTCTCCCGGTATTCGTCATATTCCGAAGAAGATTCTAGAACGTATATTCTACCATTTTCCTTGCGAAGAGTCCGCTTTGATTGTGTGTTATTTTTATTTGAAGCCACGGCGCTCTTTTTTACCGATGTTCCGTCATCGTCCGTTTCATTTCTTGACACATCCGTTTTGTTTGTGTCTTCTGAAGATTCACCTATATTTTTATCATTGGAAGCATTGACAGGCATTGAAGTATTGTTATTTAATCTAACACTTTTGTAATAAGTTTCAAGAGAGCTTTTACTAGCTACTGCCTGTGAGCTATCACGGTTATTATCGTCTTCTGTTTCTGATGAATCTGAATTGATTTCTTTATCTAATTCTGGTTCAGCTTTAGTTGCGTTCTTATTGACACTGTTGTCTTTCAAACTCTGTGATTCTATTGAGGAAGACATATATTCGTCTCTATTTTCTTTATTTTCTTCTCCCTTTAATTTTTTCTTTTTGTTTGAAATATTCGTTATAGTTTTTTCGTTGGGTTTTATTTCTTTAGCAGATTTTTGTTCAGCTTCACTTCCATTAGATTTCTTTTTCAAAAAATGTTTGTATTTTAGACTTAAATTACCAAAAGGGGACGGTGCATGACTAACTAACGCTACCATGTTATCTTTTAGTTTTGATGTTATAATATCGTCTTTAACTGAATCGTTTTTCTCTTCAGAAACGCGATAATTCAAACTGTCCTTCGCTTTTTTCTTTTTACGTAAGTTGAAGTCTTGTAAATTTTTCATTTTTTCAACTGCTTTCTCGGCTATTTTGTTGGCGAGTTCATCGAATTTGTCGGACTGGAGAAATTTATTAATGAATTCATCGATGTTTGTGTTACGATTGATTCTTGTTGTACCGCTGAATATTCGGTGTGGAAAGAAGAGAGTCAAGGTACCTTAAAAATTATCTTCGTATAATGCACATAATATATACAATTTATTTCTAAAAGTAATCATATGGTAACTCCAAAATTGTTTTCTCTGGTAACTTATAGGTTAACTGGTACTGGAGAACGCCTTTACACTTTAAAGTCTTTGTACATTATTGAGCCAGGAAGTTCAAATAAATAAATAGTCTTTAACCCAACAAAACTAAAAAAAAACTGGCGATGGTAATAATATCGATGGCTCCGTAGAGCAGCGGCTAGGGTACGAGGCCGTGGGATCGAATCCCGTAGGAACATGTCTGTCTATAAGTAATTTGTGTATGTAACACGCCTACACGATACAGGAGGCTTTTAAATAAAAAGGAAAATAATTTCAATATTCTTATCCAATATTATATCTAGACTAGAAATAAATGGCAGATTTATATCTTGATATCTTCATCATCATTACAGCCCGTCACAATTCCACAATGTTCAACCACAAAGCACGGCCCTGAATTACATATATCCACCGACTTCCTGTATCTGTTTTAAACGTGGTAGAGCCATGATGCAGCTATATTATGGTTGTAGCATGAATGGGTCGGCTCGACCGGGGAGGGACCACGCTCTCACAGAATACCAGCGTAAAATAGCAGCTTAATGCTGCTGTGTTTTGCATGGTGAGTGTAGAGAATCGGAGACCCTTTTTACTGGAAACAAGGCATTCCACCTTAGTCAACAGGTGACAACGCATCTGCGTTTTGATTCGTAATCGAAGATATACGTAGATGTCTATGGGCCACAGTAACCACTTACCATCAGGTGGACTCGTTTGTCACCCTTATCCTATAAAAAAATATCTCTTACGATGTAGTCACTTCACCAGTGGGGGCCGCCCTACACTTTGTTTACCGGTACGAGGCTGCCAGAGCTTTTCTTCCTTATCGGTTGTTCGTTTTCAAGCTATATGGCCAGCCCACTGTCTCTTCAGCTTACTAATCCGTTATGTGGATGTTCTCATTACGAAGTCTTGGTACTTACATAAAAGATATGAAAAGAAATATTTCATTTCGAATTTATTTGTTACATTTCAAAATCCACAACATCTTTTTTTATTTTACCGAAAGAAACATGTTATTTTTTTTTAAACCGATTGCATTATGTATTATATTTTTATGGTACGATAATTTTTATTACTTTAGATATAGCTATATTTATATTAGGTAGAGCTTATGTATAGACGGAGCAATGGGTATATTTGTAGTGACGACGGAACCTTACTCGACTTACTGTGAAAACAGGTACTTCATACATATATATATTATGCATCGGTGTAAGACATCCACTACCCCATATCATACCGTGGGTGTCGTAAGAGGCGGCAGAGGGAAACAAAGCAGGAGATAGACAGCAGCGTCTTCCTAACAACCACTAAAAATAAAAAAATGCGTTTGCCAAACCGCTTGCCAAGCGTGCCAACTATGGCAACTATCCCTCCCTATGAGGCAATCTATGGGGGAGGCTTATGCTCAGCAGTGGACTTTTAATAGGCTGTAATGGATGGATGTACAGAAGATAATCTACCAGGAGCACATGACCCGCTGAGAGGTGACCTATGACAAATATCCCCCCCTATGAGGCAATCTGTGGGGAGGCCTATATTCAGCAGTGCACTATACCTAATGGTACGGTAAATCTTATGTATATTTAAATGGTACAAAAGCGTTTACCGTATACATACTGTAAGTGAGATATTCTCGTATATAATATTATAAATGTATAATGTCGTCCAGACCGAATTTCGGTCACGGTGGCAAGTCTCAACGGAGACTAGCCATCTGTGCAGGACAGGATTATGCCTCCTCTACACTACTCGCGAAGTACATCGAGGTTGGACGAGGCGAATAGTGTAGAGAGGTATGAGTTCGATTCGCTTCGTGCAAACTCGCTTCGCCCCGGGCGACTTCCGATCGCTGTCGGTTTTTTGCGCGAGAGTCAAAGGACTTCGCGAAGTACCCCGAAGTTACACGAAGCATCTCACTACACTACACTACTCGACTTACGCCAGTTCACAGAGTACATTTGCGCCAATTAAAATATCAGAGGTAAGAAGATAATTTTGCCAGATAATGGATTAGATTCAATGTATATTTCAAAACTGTATTTTAGCTAGTGTGCTAAGCCGTTCTGTTTAATATAAGTGATATAACAAAATAATACATTTTTCTATGCAAACATGAAAGTATTCTACTTAGAGATTGTTTTTAATTTGAGATAATTATGTCGAATTTTAGTCAACCTCATTTTTGAACTCTTAAATGGAAAGTACAACTAATATTTAATAAGTATTTATATTAAATATTAGTTGTACTATTTTAATAATTTATACATAAAAAAATTATATTTCCTTTTTCAAACATAATTTAGAATATAATATTTTATACAATTATTATATACAATATTAAAAACTATAATAATAAAAAAAAACTAAAACTAGAAACTTAATTATCATATAGTCCTACACACCGCGGTATCATGCCAAGAACGCTGGCTGCGTTTCCCCGCTGAATGGCTATACTTAACCTTTGAGCGAGAAAAGAACCAGCCCTCTTATCACCAGCAGCAACGACCAGCCGGGGATGGAGTTTCTTTAGGGTTTTCACCGCACGTGTACTCTACAGCAAATGGCACAAATATGTAGTCATCTCTCAGAGACTCATATTTGCGCCACTTACTGAGTTCAGCTGCCTCTGATGCCGCCCCGGCTCTGAACGAGGTACCCATGAGATGAGAGGCCGCCAGTGTCTACGCAAGTAGCATCTCACACTAGGGCTTTTGGCTTTAATTAATATACTTTTATTGACTTTAATTATAAGTGAGAGAAAAAAAAAACGCCTTCATTAATCTTAAGAATAATTACTCAGTCGTTTTTCTGTGCCGTTAACATTTTACCATAATATCCGATTTTTCGTAAGCGTTTATAAACAACATTGGTGAAAACCTATCCGGGAATATTGCGTAACCAGGTTTCTTATTTCTTCCTCTTTCCAGTGATAAAGCTGAAACTTATTTTTTTACTTATGTTAGACCACAGGGCTGCCAGATCAAAAAACTCATTCAGCGCTAAGACGATACAAAAAGCGCTAGATTTTATGAAAACAGCGCTTTAAAAAAGCGCTAGATTTCGCGCTAAACTAACTACATTTTTTCTTGAATTATAAATTATAATAAAAAACGCAAATAAAGTTCAAACAAATCGTTTAATTTCGTTATCGAGACAACATTAATTAATTTTCAATTAACAAGTTACTGAACTAGGGCCAGCTTCATCAGTGTTTTTTTTCTGGCTATATTTTTCTGATGTCCCAGTACTTCGCAAAACATCGACAGGAAGCTTATAACTATAACAATTTCTGTCAAGAGCAGTTAGTTCTGTACGAACAATTAAAATTGAATTAATTGTTTTTAAGTGCAATGTATTTCGCAACTTAGTTTTTACAACATTCATTAAACTGAACACACGTTCGATGTCAGCATTTGAATGCGGTATGCTCATTACCTTTGTGGCCACTTCAAACAATTCTTTATAAGGACAATTGCCAGTTGCATCCCTCGACTGCTGAACTTCGGCCCAGAATTTCACTGTGTCGTCAGTATGGACCCACTCTTGCAGTATTATAGTTTGCCATTGCTGTACAATACTATCCATATCGTTTGTGCATCCAAGACTCTCTAAGACTTTTATAAAATTTTCAATGAGTCTATTTGGCTTTAAAATAACTGAAACTGATAGCGCCATTGTATTTTTTAATAGTTTTAAGTTTTCCGGCATTCTTTGTTGTAGTTCATTGATCAGCTTTATTATAAAATCAACACACCTTTTCTTGATCATTTTTTTTCTTCATTATCTAATGCAGACTCATTGATCTCTTTTTCAAATAAGTATCCAAGAAAAGGACTCATGGAAAGATGTTCTCTTACGGCGACCATAGACTATAAGCGGGATTTTCCCGCTTATAGTCTATGGGTAATGTAGACATAAAGTGTAAAATAGTTAGATAACCCGCTAAAAGCTACAATTTTAAAATGTGTGCTAAGTACATAAAAAAGCGCTAGATTAAGCGCTAGGCGCTAAAATTTTGAAATGCGCGCTAAACACACCAAAAAAGCGCTAGATCTAGCGCCCAAAGCGCTAAAATGGCAGCACTGAGACCACCGATAATCCTCCCTGGTATATAGTGTATTATCTATGGATAATCCAGTCTCATCAACATTATTGTTTCTGTTCTTTATTTTTTTTTGGAGTTTATGGCCTGGTATCTAGACCTTTAGGCCAAGTCTTAAGTATTTTTATTCGGTTTATTGTAATTTCCCCACTCCTTCATAGTATACTGCTTCACAATATGTTGATACGTCACATTGTGCAGTTCTTGGGAGATTTTGGCGGCAACTTGATCCAGCAGACAGCTGATAGTTGGCGATGGTATCTAAAGGTGCCTATGCAAACAAATAGCTTATCTTGAGAATCCATCACCATCAGAGCACTTGTTTCACTGTTTCCACTAATAGTTCACATGCGTAGACACTTAATACACAAAATCGCAACACTTTTACATATCAAAGTCCACTTCAAACCATTATTTAAACAATAATACAGGAGCAGCAAACCGCCGCCGGTCAATTTCCCGCCAAAACTTTTTCTGTTCTTTATTTACTACCTACCCACAGATTAAAATAATAAAATGGACAACCCTATAAAAAGAATTTCATTATACCTGCATTATATCACAAATTAGAATTAATTACTCACAAGACATTAAAATGTCAGTTTCTTGTTTATTGCTAATCGTCTATCAAATAGGTGAGCTTGTAAATTTGTTTAATTAGAATGTCCGTTCCAGCTTTAAGACAGCCAAAAAGATCGAAAAAGACAACGCCACCAAAGAAGTCAATAACATGTAGAAAACCTGAGAAGGAATACGTTATTTTAACTTTGAAAGATGATAAAAAACTTGTAGTCACTTCTGACGGTTATCATGGCATAATAAAAATGGAGAGCATGTATTTATGTGTACTCTGCGAGACAGAGATTGATTTAGATGATAAATGTAAAGCGGAACACAAGAATCTCGAGTCTCATTTGAAAACTTTTGAAAAGTTTCCGCATTTGGAAGGCTTTGTTGAAAATCTTGTAAGGCAGGTATGTATATTGTATAACTAATAATTTTATTAAATGTTTGCTATATACCAAAAAAAGAGACGGAGCGATACGGATATTTAATACGACGCCGAAACCATAATCAATTTACTGTGAGAACACCTCCTACAATCATTAATATCTAAAAGCACAGACTAAACCCCGCTTTTCATTATGGGATATAATATAATATATATTACATCTCGAGATATAAATTAATATCGCTCACCATCCTTTTGAATGGAACCGTTTACACTGAGCTATAATATATATTACATCGCAAGCTATAAATGTTTTTTCGATCGACCGAGCGATATATCCATATTATATTTCGCCCCCTGTACTCCGCACACCTTTCTGCGCCCCCGCAGAACCGTTTGCGGGGTACAGGGGGTAATTTAACAAAGTTTTTAACAGTGGTAGAGCCACGCGGCAGCTTTTGCTGTCGCACGGATGGGCCGGCTCGAACCGGGGTGGTACCACGACCTCACAGAATACCGGCGTGAAGTAGAGGTTTACTTCTGCGTTTCGCTTGGTGAGTGCAGGTGGCCGGAGGCCCTTTTTACTGGAAATGAGGCATTCCATCTTAGTCCTCACGGGTGACAATGCATCTGCATGTTGATTCGTAATCGAGGATAGATGTAGATGTCTATGGGCCGCAGCAACCACTTACCATCAGGTGGACTGTGTGCTCGTTTGTCACCCTTATCATATAAAAAAAAATCCAATGACGATTGACGAACGCATACAGGTTAAAAGATATATCTCACAGTGTAAAAGCCAATCGCGGGATTTAATTTATATTTCGGGATATTACGGGCTGTTAAAAAAAGGAAGACGTAATATGTGTGCGTGAGTGCATAAGTCACGAGGAAAAAGCCAAAATTAGGAACTTTTGCTAATTAGGTGCCAAGTTTAGGTGCTAATTAGGTGCCAAAAGTTTAGGTGCTAATTAGGTGCCAAGTTTAGGTGCTAATTAGGTGCCAAGTTTAGGTGCTAATTGGGTGCCAAGTTTAGGTGCTAATTAGGTGCCAAGTTTAGGTGCTAATTGGGTGCCAAGTTTAGGTGCTAATTAGGTGCCAAGTTTAGGTGCTAATTAGGTGCCAAGTTTAGGTGCTAATTGGGTGCCAAGTTTAGGTGCTAATTAGGTGCCAAGTTTAGGTGCTAATTGGGTGCCAAGTTTAGGTGCTAATTAGGTGCTCTAAAATTTTCACCTCAAGGAAAATTTTAGAGCACCCAGTGTAAACGGTTCCATATGAAATGTATGGTGAGCGATGTTAATTTATATCTCGAGATGTAATATATATATTATATTATATCCCATAGTGAAAAGCGGGCTTTATACATATACGATAAACATTAATAGCAAGGAATTAAGTGCTGCAAGTATAGGCAATGACAAGGCGCCCCTAGTAAAAATAAAGTCGTTATTCAGAACAAAGCAGATGTAAAAATCAGGTTTTCTGAAAATGGTAAAGCTATAGACATCCGGTACTTACTTACGGGGTCGAAGGGGGGGGGGGGGTAGAGCGGGGTTTTGTACGGATGTGACATTGAGTGAAAAAAATCGATTAATAAAAAATCGATTTTTTGCTTTGTGATAATAATCGATTTAGGAAAAATCGATTTTTTTATAAAAAAATAATAGATTTTTGCGAAAAAAATATTATATTCGGAAAATAATCTTCTGGTTTTAGAAATAAACTACAGAACAATTTTTTAACATATAACTTTGAACAATAAAAAACTAAAAATAATTACTGCCACAAATGTTCAGTGCCATTTAACAATTTATTACAACCAAAATAAACAGAAACGATTAATTAAACTAAGTTTTATGGATTTTATCGCGTTTAATTTAACTTTTTAATTCCCCACATTTCAGGTGCTTTACAGCATGCATGGTCACAGAGGGGACTGAGGTGTTTGACGTCTCTATGTCATAGTTGAACCACAAATCCTCGCAAAAGAACACCGATTCCTACCAAGGATGATTCGCTAGGCTATCGAAATTAAAAAACATCCTAATTTCAATAGAGAAGATGGATGGGTGCTGCCATCTGCTTGGCATCCTATAATTAATAAAATTAAATCCAAACCCAAGCATACCACTGTAAGACTTCAAGATACTGTAAGCTCATTCTGCGTAGATCGGACCAAAAATTAATATTCAAAAACTGAATTTAGCCAGGCTAATTATGACATCTGGACGTCAAAGACCTCAGTTCCCCCCGTGACCATGGGTGCTGTGAAGCACCCGAAACGTCAGGAATTAAAAAGTTAAATTAAGCGTGATCAAATCCGTAAAAATTAATTTCATTAAATGTGTAGTCTTCGCGTAAATATAAGAAATCATTAAGAAACCATAATTTTAGTAAACGATAGTTTTTTTTTAAACTAAGTTTGAACAAACAAAAAGTCTAAATATCATTATGCCACTAATGTTCAGTATCATTTACATTGGATTAGAATGAAAATAAAATAAAAATATAATTATAAATAATCCGACGACAACCTTTTGATCTCAAAACTAAAATAAAAGACAAATCTTTTTTTACACTAGTGTAAACAAAAAAAGTAAAAAAATATTGCCATGAATTTTCACTTAAAGACTTTAAAAACAATCATTTCACCAAAATTCTTCTTCGTCTCTTTCCCAAAATACGGTTTCGTTTTTTCCTGACAATATTTCCCGCTTTCAAAAATAATCTTTCGGCTGGCGCGGAACTGGCCGTCACTGAGAGGTGTTTAAAAGCCAATTCGGTTAGTTTAGGGAAAGTTCCTTCAGAGCTTCTCCATATATTGAGGGCATCTGCCTTGAGATTTGATAGTGGTGCCGTAATATATAGATTCAATTCAGTATTTTTGCCTATTGACGTGTTAGCCGCTATCATTTTTTCATTATAAAATACTTCTGTCAGTCACTTTTACACGTTTCACAAGACATTTTTATTGTTTATATATAGTTGTTTACACTAACCAAAGAAAGAAAGAAAACCACAGAATACTTTTACTCCTAGCGGAGGAAGAAACCTGTTGAAAACATACGAAAAGCGAATCTGTTTTACATACATAGATACATAAAGGTGGCGCCGTCTTTTGATTGACTTATTCATATTATTGAACTTACTTCACGTTTTTACAACCATCGCACAGATGATTCTGATTACAAAAATCGATTGAAACGCGTAATTTACATAAAAATCGATTTATTAAAAATCGATTTTTATTATAAAAATAATCGACTTCGAAAAATCGATTATAACAAAAAAATAATCGATTAATATTAAAATCGATTATTTTTTCACATCCCTAGGGTTTTGGGGAAGCCCCCCTACCCTTACCTCTTTGCAAAAATGTATAGTTTATCAGTCATATTTTGTTTGTAAAATCATAACCTCACTTTTACACAAGAATATTGATACAGTTACTTCTGCAACCACTTCGGCGTTGCGGGAAGTGCAGCCCCTTCGCCACTGAAAATCACAGGCACCCATGCTCACCTCCACAGCTTCGGCTTATTGGTCGCTTTCGACCACCAGCCTTAGCCGCTACGGCTCGCGCAGATGCCTGCGATTTGCTACAGCGGGCGGGGGCTGCACTCCCTGTGCGCCTACGGCTTTTATAGGTAGTAAGGTAATGGTGGCCCTGGATCCGATAATTCCCAGAATATTACCGGGCTTAGCTTTCCATTGACGTCAGTGGAGTTTGGTGTTGATACGTATTTTTACAGAAAGATTACACTATTATAAGCACACACACAAAGTCTCAATATACGGAAACGCGTAATTTTTGAGAAAAGAATAATTGAAAATCAATTATTCTTGCAATGTTTATGTCTAATCTGCTAATAAACTGGCGCCATTTTGTAATGTCATTGTCGACGTCAATAGGGATGTCGATTCTTTCCGAAAAAGGTCGATTTTTAAATCGATTCAAATCGTAAGCTGATGTATCGGTTCACAAAAAATCGATTTCTAAAATATCTATATTTTTTTAATGTTTCTATTTATAATGTAAATATAAACCCATTTTATGAAAAACAAGAAAGATACCATGATAAATGATCTCTTATTGAAATTTGTTTTATTTAACAGTACCTATTAGGGCAGATAACAAATAAAATAGGTTAGGTTCAACTTATGTCAAAGAATCGAATTGATTGACCCCGACTCCACCTGGTACGAGTCTGTCCTACCCCTAGAGTGGTTTTATAGAGCCGGAGGCGCGTAGGGGGAGCAGCCTCCGCCTGCTGTAACAAATCGTAGGCATCGGACGAGCCAGAGCGGCTAAGGCTAGTCGCCGAAGGCGACCAACAAGCCGAAGCTGCGGAGGCGAGGAGGGATGCCTGCGATTTGTTACGCTAAGGCGTAGAGGTTGCTCTTCCCGCAGCGCCGAAGACGTAGCAGTCTCAAAATAGATACAGAAATCCTTATGAATCAATTCCCTTATTTTTTTATGATGAAGGGGATTTTTTTCTTATAAAATGGATTTATATTTACACTATAAATGCAAACATGAAAAAAATATCGATATTTTAGAAATCGATTTTTTGGGAATCGATACATCAGCTTACAATTCGAATCTATTTAAAAAATCGATCTTTTTCGGAAAGAATCGACATCCCTATTGACGTCGACAATGACATTACAAAATGGCGCCAGTTTATTAGCAGATTAGACATAAACATTGCAAGAATAATTGATTTTCAATTATTCTTTTCTCAAAAATTACGCGTTTCCGTATATTGAGACTTTGTGTGTGTGCTTATAATAGTGTAATCTTTCTGTAAAAATACGTATCAACACCAAACTCCACTGACGTCAATGGAAAGTCGTACCTTTTACCGTAATAGCCATTCGTTTTGCCAGCAACGCAAACTTCAACAGTTCGTTGCGGTGAAAATTAGTACTTACCTAATTTTTAAACTTGGCACCTAATTAGCACCTAAAAAGTCCCTAATTTTGGCTTCTTCTAAAAAATTGATTCTATTCTGATTTTCAGAAGACCCAATTTTTGCATCTGCTTTGTTCTGAATAACCACTTTATTTTTACTAGGGGCGTCTTGTCATTGCCTACACTTGCAGCACTTAATTCCTTGCTATTAATATTCATCGTATAACTATTATCGTCACTGCAGATTTCAACAGTTCCTTGAGGAGACAATTTTAGAGCACCTACTTAGCACCTAAAAAGCCCCTAATTTGGGGTTTTTTCTAAATGCAAATTCTTGACCTTGCGTTGCTGGCGAGATACAGCTGAGTGCATATCAAAAAGTTGAGCATAGTTGTGGCATCGCTTGAAATGTGCGTATCGTACGTAATGTGTATCATCTATCTTTATTTTGATTTGATTTGTTAGACTGATATTTTAAATTTACTCGAAAAAATTTATAAATACATTCAAAGGCTGTAAAACTTTTTTAACTTCATGAAGTAAATAATTTTTCAGATCTTTCACCGACTTTTTGTACGTGGTAGAGCCATGCTGCAGCTATATTAGTAGTATAGTTGTAGCACGAACGGGTCGGCTCGACCGGGAAGGACCACGCTCTCACAGAATACCAGTGTAAAATTGCAGTTTAACTGCTGTGTTTCGTATGGTGAGTGTAGAGAACCAGATACCCTTTTTACTGGAAAAGAGGCATTCCATCTTAGTCCTCACGGGTGACAACGCATCTGCATTTTGATTCTTTATTGAAAATAGATGTAGATGTCTATGGGTCCCAGTGGTAGAGCCACGCGGCAGCATTTGCTGTCGCACGGATGGGCCGACTCGAACCGGGTTGGTACCACGACCTCACAGAATACCAGCGTAAAGTAGAGGTTTACCTATGCGTTTCGCTTGGTGAGTGCAGGTGGCTGGAGGACTTTTTTATTGGAAATGAGGCATTCCATCTTAAGTCCTCACGGGTGACAACGCATCTGCATTTTGATTTGTAATAGAGGATAGATGTAGATGTCTAAGGGCCGCAGCAACCACTTACCATCAGGTGGATTGTGTGCTCGTTTGTTACCCTTATCTTATAAAAGAAACAGTCTTCTCCTTCCTGTCCTTATCCCAAGTTATATAGGGCGGGTACAGCATGTTTTCTTCTTCCACTCTCCTCAGCCGTCATCACTTTATTCACTCCTCTCTTACACATATCATGCCTAACACAATCCCACATCTGATAACGTGGTTTATTTAAAAAAAATAACTTTAATTTGACTTATAATGGTGGATTAAGAGAATCCCAGAACATCCCATGGGTGTTTCTTTTTTATAGGTTAAGGGTGACAAACGAGCACACAGTCCACCTGATGGTAAGTGGTTGCTGCGGCCCATAGACATCTGCATTTATCCTCGATTACGAATCAACATGCAGATGCGTTGTCACCCGTGAGGACTAAGATGGAATGTCTCGTTTCCAGTAAAAAGGGGTCTCCGGTTCTCTACACTCACCATACGAAACACAGCAGCATTAAGCTGCTATTTTACGCTGGTATTCTGTGAGAGTGTGGTCTTTCTCCGGTCGAGCCGACCCATTCGTGTTACAACTATACCAGCAATATAGCTGCAGCATGGCTCTACCATGTAACAAACAACTGTGGTAAGAGTCAAACTGAAACAGAGGATGGGTCATAGTATCTTCCTGTTACAAGCTGAAATAATAAAAAAACCATCTTTATTTTTCCAGTTAAACAAAAATTCATGCTATTGCACAATATGCAATGTGATGGTCTCAACAAACTTCTTGATGCGACACGTTGAAGGAGAGGCTCACAAGCAGGAGTTAGAAAGAGCTGGTATTAGGGCTTCTGTTTACAAACCAAAATGAGAGATAAATTATTTACAGTATATTTATTTCTTTCGCTTTCCTGGCTAATTTCACACACAAACAACCTGGTTTTAATCCCTGCCGCTACCAATGAATTTATTGCAATTTTTAAGTATATATTTACGACATGCTAGGTAGTGAAGGAAAATATGAGGAAAGCTGTATGTCTGAGGAAAAATATTTTAAGGATTTGAATTCCACACAAAACTGTCTAGTGCCAATGTAAGAATATCCACTACCACATATCGTCGTCCAATAGAACAGAAGAGGGAAGCTGCGTCTTTCTAATGGTAACAACTCAAAATACTAAAATACTGCGGTGGCCACTCTGCCTGCCAAGCGTGGCAACTAAGGCAAATTTCTCCCGATGAGGCAATCTATGGGAGAGGGCTACATATGTTCACTAGTGGACTTTATAGGCTGTAATGGATGTATGTATAGAAGATAATCTACCAGGAGCACATGGTCCACTGAGAGGTGAAATTATTAAATCAACAGTAACTTTACTCTATGGCAAATATCCTCCCTATGAGGCAATCTATCGGGGAGGCCTATGTTCAGCAGTGGACTTTTATAAGCTGTATTTGATGGATTGATAGAATATACACTAGAGTAGCAAAGCAGATAAATGACTCTCAAACCCTCAGAAATATAAGGAAGCCAGTGCCCAGTAGTGGAACGTATGAAGGTTGTAACTTTAACTTTACTATTATATAATTTGTATCAACAAATAAATAAAAAATTATACAAATTGGTTTTACCATTGCCAAGAAATCAGTGAAAATACACAAAACAAAAAAACATGTGTAAGTGTCGTGGAACACTTGGTTGGAACAAAGTTCCTTACGTAGTATATTATTATTGATGAACGTATTATATTATTGATTAACAAGTACAAATAAATGAATTACTAGCGTCTATTAAAATGAAGCGTAATTTAAAATAATATTTCTTTCATGGCAAGATAAAAAAAAGTGCGAGGGAGATGGATATTACTCCATCTCACTTCCATATAGGCGCCACTACGTAAGAAAAGGTTGTAACTGAAAAATCTTACACTTTTTCTCGTCTAGCCTCCATCCACCAAATGTACCGTCCGATAAGGAACTTCATTCCATAAAACATGTGTTGAATATAGAACCTGTTTTTATAAAATTTTTATACACCAATAAGGACTAAGATGGAATGCCTCTTTTCCAATAAAAAGGGTCTCCGGTTCTCTACACTCACCATACGAAACACAGCAGTGTCAAGCTGCTATTTTACACTGGTATTCTGTGAGAGCGTTGTCCTTCCCCGGTCGAGCCAACCCATTCGTGCTACAACTATACTACTAATATAGATGAAGCATGGCTCTACCATGTAAATAAACTTCTTTTAAGTTGCCCATGGAATAAGCCACTACAGAGGGTAAACAGTCCTTGCATTTGGTTTTCATAAAATTTTACCAGTTTCCATAATAAACCTTGTCCTTTAACTGGTAATAAGACATTCCATCTTATTGCTGACAATAGTCTATGCACCACAGCATTCACTTACTAATTGTAGCAATAAAAAATCACAGCTATTGACTTAGAATACTGTCTATGGTCACAGCCTACACTTATACACAGGCCTCCCAAAATATTAATGTAGTTGTAGCTATAAAGTTGACAATGGACAGTGTAGGCTGAAGTTTATCCACCAAATTGAAGATATATTAAAGATTTTTTTTTATAGGATAAGGGTGACAAACGAGCACACGGTCCACCTGATGGTAAGTGGTTGCTGCGGCCCATAGACATCTAAATCTATCCTCTATTACAAATCAAAATGTAGATGCATTGTCACCCGTGAGGACTAAGATGGAATGCCTCATTTCCAGTAAAAAGGGCCTCCGGCCACCTGCATTCACCAAGCGAAACGCAGAATCAAACCTCTACTTCACGCTGGTTTTCTGTGAGGTCGTGGTACCGCCCCGGTTCGAGCCAGCCCATCCGTGCGACAGCAAAAGCTGCCGCATGGATCTACCACTGTTGAAAGATGGGTCAAATTAAGTGTGCCCTTGACCAATGAGCATGTATGCATGGTATAGAATGTGGTGTGCCAAACTAAAAGGAAGTCTGTTGTTCCTGCCTACCCCTCTAGGTGACAGGCATGAGTATATTAATTAATATGTTCTATTCTCTTATTCATATTCTAAATAAAACAGCTCATAGTTAAAATTATTTTTACTACTATTTTATTGCAAAACAAACTTAACACTATCGTCTTCGTTTCTTTGAACGCTTTTTTATGTTTTTCTTACCAACTTTGTTCAGTTTTGCTATCTTCCTTTTGTGTAACCAAATCGGATATTGTCCGTTCTGATCTTTCAATGTTTTCGTGCTGTAGACTTTCTTTTCACCATTTTCACCAGAAACTTCCACTTTTTCATCATCAGAGCTCATCTCAACATCTTCTTCTACGTCGGGCAGTGGTTGCTCCTTCTTTTTGTCCTTTTTATTTTTAGCGATCTGCCCAGCATCTAAGAATATTACTTGATCCGATTCCATAACCTCACTTTCAGGTTGTTTATCCTCTTCTTTGATGCCGAGCATTTTCTTTAATCTAGCCAGCTCTTTAACAGCGTATCTCTCTCTTTTGATAGCTCTGCATTTTCGCTTCCATTTGCTTCGAATTGATTTCGCCATTTAGGAATGATAGTTTGCAATGCTTGTTTTCACAACAAAACGTCATAAACGGAAAAGAAAAACTACACAGACAATGAGACAATATTACTTCTTCGTCTTAATAACAGGCTTTACGGCTCTGGGATCTAGCCCTTCTGAGCCTGAAGTTACAATTTATTATAATAATTATCCTTCATAGTATACTGCTTCACAATATGTTGATGCGTCACATTGTGCAGCCCTTGGGAGATTTTGATGGCTTGAGCCAGCAGACAGGTGACGGTTGGCGATGGTGTGGCGGGTGGAAGGGAATGGGGAGATTTCCCGCCGGCCAAGGTGTTCTGCCCGGGGAGCGGCCAACGCTCCGAATGGTAGTTTGGAGCTAGTCTATATATGCTGCTTTAACTTCGGAACTTTGTAAGCGCGATTTAGGCTTCGATGTGTTTAGCTTGTGGTGCGATGACAGCGCCGCCACAATGGTATCTCAAGACGCCTAAGCAGACGCCTTGAGATACCATCGCCAACTGTCAGCTGTCTGTTGGCTCAAGTTGCCGTCAAAATCTCACAAGGGCTGCACAACGTGACGCATCAACATATTGTGAAGCAGTGTACTATGAAGGATAATTATACATTGTAACTTCAGGCTCAGGAGGGCTAGAACCCAGAGCCGTAAAGCCCGTTATAAAAAATCATTTTTTTTAATTAATATTTTTAAATATCTATTAATTAGGTATTAACACAGCGGTGACACTCTCTGTACGTGAGAGTTGAAGCGCCGGTGACATTAGGTCGAAGCGTGTAACGCTAGGGTTGATCATCATCATTATTATCATCATAACAGCCCTTCACAAGTCCACTGCTAAACATAAGCCTCTGCCAAGGAATGCCCCAAAGCACGGTCCTAAGCCACCTGCATCCTTCGACTTCCTGTATATCTTACCAGGTCGTCACTCCATCTAGTGGGGGGGACGCCCTACACTTCGCCTGCCGATACGAGGCTGCCACTCGAGAACCTTTTTTCCCCATAGGTTGTCGGTTCTTCGAGCTATATGGCCGGCCCATTGCCATTTCAGCTTACTAATCCATTGGGCTATGTCGGTCACTCTGGTTCTACTGCGGATATCCTAATTTCTAAGTTTATTACGCAGAGAAACTCCGAGCATAGCCCTCTCCATAGCTCTCTGAGCGACCTTGAGCTTCCTCATCCGGCCAGCAGTGAAGGACCACGTCTCAGTTCCATAGGTCATCAATGGCAACACGCACTGGTTGCACAGTCTCGTTTGCAAGTTTTGAGGTATACCTGACGAGATGTGCCGTAATTTTCCGAACGCTACCCAACCGAGTTGAATCCGTGGATTGACCTCTCGATTAATTTTCCGAACGCCGCCCAACCGAGTTGAATCCGTCGATTGACCTCTCGATCGAAGTTGGACTTACCTAGTCGGACTATTTGTTCCAGGTAATCATACTCGTCAACAACTTCGAGCTAAGTGCTCCCAACAACTACCGGCATAGGTGTGACATGGGCATTAAACATGATCTTTGTTTTGTCCATGTTCATCTTAAGACCTATCCGTTGGGAAGCACTAATGAGGTCATTGAGCATAGTGCTTAGGTCCTCCAGCGATTCTGCCATAAGGACTATATCGTCGGCAAATCGAAGGTGAGTGATGTACTCGCCACTGATGTTGATACCGAATCCTTTCCAGTCCAGAAGCGTGAAAACGTCTTCCAATGCAGCGGTGAAGAGTTTCGACGATATGACGTCACCCTGTCTTACACTTCTCTGTAATTGGATAGGTTTCTTACTCTTGTCTGTACTCGGATAGCCACCGTAGCCCTACTGTACAAACACTTCAACACTTCGGTATACCGACAGTCAACTTGGCACCGCTGAATAGACTGCAGCACCGCCCAAATTTCGACGGAATCAAAGGCTTTCTCATAGTCCACATACGCCAGACAGAGTGGCAAATTATACTCCTCGGACTTCTGTACAATTTGCCGAAGGGTATGTATGTGGTATACGGTGCTAAAGCCTTTTCGAAAACCGGCTTGTTCGGGAGGCTGGATGTCGTCAAGTATGCGCGCGAGACGATTCGTAATGACTCTCGAAAACAGCACGTAGACGCGGCTCAGAAAGGAAATCTGTCTGTAGTTCTTCAAGAGAGCGTTGTCGCCTTTCTTGAAGAACAAGACCACCGCACTTCTGCTCACGCCTCCAGTGTAATGCTACCATGGCGGACCCCTTGGGTTCCGTTGCCCTATTCCGAATTTCCCCACTTTCTACTAGTTTTGTGTTGAAGTCTCCCATTAACTCCGTATAGTGGGTTTTGGAGGAAAGCATGGCTCTAGAGATATCCTCATACATTTCCTCCACCTCCTCAACAGGGCGTGCCGAGGTTGGTGCGTAAACCTGTATGACCTTCGGCGAATACGGTTTGGTTATTCTGAGTACGCAACCCTCGTCGACAAACTCCTAGTCTTTACAACGTTGTCAAAGAAAGACTAGTGGATGATAAATCCGACACCAGAATTCCTCTGAACACTCCCCGTGGTATATGGGATAAAAAATGCAAAGGGATGTAACATCTCTTCGTTCACTGGTTTTCTTGGCATCACTCTCGACGCAAAGCTTCAGTGGGGCCCCCATCCAAATTAGCAAGTAGACTAAGTTCTGCAGCCTATGCTTTAAAAAAGATTAGAGGTCTCACTAGTGCCGAGACAGCTAGATTAGTTTATTTCAGTTATTTCCATAGTATAATGTCTTATGGGATTTTGCTAAGAGGAAATGCGGCTGATTCAGAAACTATTTTTGTTTTACAGAAGAGGGCTATAGAGCTATTAACAATCTAACCGAGAGAGTCTCTTAGAGATAAATTTAAAGAAATAAATATATTAACTTTGGCCTCTCAGTATATTTACGAAAATATGTTCTGTATGTTCACAAAAACAAAGATAGATTTAGTACACAAAACTATAAACACTAGGAACAAACACAAGCTAGTGATGCCAGTTTCTCGACTCCACAGAGTCAGTAATGAGGGCATCCACGACTTTTTCTGCCACCAGGGCGGCGCCACTTTACAATGAGGTAAAATATTTGACAGATTTCATAGAGAGGACGATAATTTCTTAGGAAAATGTAATCTTTAAGGTTTCTTTCTGTATTATTAGTTATATTTTATATTAATTACATTAGATATGAATAAATCAAACTATAAATATATAACTAAAAGACGATTTTATTTAAAAGAGTCAAGTGCAAAAAATTAAAAATCAAACCACTGACTCATTGTGTTGTGTGTTAATATAATACTCTAGATAATTATAAACTATTATTTAAAACTAATTTCTCAATTATAACTGACGCTGTGTAACAGAAAACTTTACCTCTGTCACAACTAGCGACATCTGGTGAGTGGAAGATTATTAGCCCTTATTCATTCTTGGGGCAATGTATACGCTATTACAACAAGGTCCCGTAAAGTGTACAGGTTCTCTCTATTACCAAGTTTAAATGTTTTATTAAGCTGAAACTGTTTAAAAAGGGTTATTACAGTATAAATGAATACATGGTTGATAATAACCCCTGGGAATGAGGTGATCGCTTCCAAGCAGTTTCTAAAATAAATTTTGTAAATAGTTCGTAATCATTTATATTGTAAAATTTATTTTAAAAAAAAGTCCCGTTGGGTTTCTTGCTGGTTCCTCCCAGGACAGAGGGTTTTTTTTCGAACCAGTGGTAAAGTAAAAAATGATTTTCAATAAGAATTACACATGTAATGTATATTGAATAAAAATTATTCTATTCTATTCGTCTCGTCTTTCGTCTTCGTCGGTCGGTCATTTCAGCCTTCCCTTCCAAGTGACCACGAAACTGCACGTTATTCGATATGTCAACGCCGAAGATTCCGATACTGGCTGAAGTAACAAGGGGAGTGCCCTGAAATTGAGGCGGTACGACAAAGCGGTTCTTTTTAGTGGTAAACGCGCAAACTTGTGTCGTCTGGGCATTGAACTTAATTAGATTTAGTCGCCCCAATCCGAGAACTTATCCGGCAAAACTCGACTTCAGATACAAGTTTTTTCCGGTACTCGGCGACGTTTTCTCAAGAAATATAGGCATAGCCGGTGTATAAAGCATCACTAGTGCACGTTACTGGTTTGCAATATATTATTGATAAGCAGAAGAAATAGCGTAGGTGATAGCACGTAGTCTTGTGGAACACCAGCATAAATAGGCTTGTAAATGGAGCATGCACCTTCTACTACGACTTTGTTGCTCGAATCTGAAAGAAAATTGTTGATCCAGTTGCACAAATTCTCGGGAAGCCCATAGGAAGGGAGTTTCAAAAGTTTGTGCCAAACCCGATCGAAGGCCTTCGCTATGTTCAGACTAACGGCCAGGGACTCCCTCTCTGCCTCCGCCGATTTATGGTTCGGGTAAGCCAGAAGATCACCAGCTGAGCAACCCCGACGGAATTCGTATGGGCGGTCACTTTTTAATTGGTGATCCTCAACCTCATGAGTTGGCAGTTCACAATGGTTTTCATTATTTTAGAGAACAAGTTGGATAGGTCTGAGCGGTCGTATTTTGGTTATTTTTCTACCGACTTCAAAAAGGAGACGGTATTCAATTCGACTGTATTTTTTTATGTGTGTTACCTCACAACCTTTTACTTGGTGAACCGATTTCGATGATTCTTTTTTTTATTTGAAAGTTGCTACTTCATATGTTTTTTTATAGGATAGGGTGACAAACGAGCACACAGTTCATCTGATGGTAAGTGGTTCCTGTGGCCCATAGACTATCTATCTATATCAATCTACATTTATCCTCGTTTGCGAATTGAAATGCAGATGCGTTGTCACCCGTGAGGACTAAGATGGAATGCCTCGTTTTCAGTAAAAAGGCTCTTCGGTTCTCTACACTCACCAAACGAAACACAGCAGTGTTAAGCTATTTTACGCTGTTATTCTGTGAGAGCGTGGTCTTTCCCCGGTCGAGCCGACCCATT